TTAGATTCATTTGCTAACAACAACAGTAACTCACTACTGAATGATAACAAAAAGAGATCATCGGAATTCATAGCACAACAGCTACGTGATAAAAGAATCAATTGGCTTACAAATTCTACAAGTCTTAGAAAGCAACAACAGGAAGAAAGGAGTAATTCTACAGAAATAGGAATGTTAACACTAACAGACTCTAGTATAAATAACCAAAAAGGATACTAATAATTCTCGAATGCTCGTCCATAATAATAGTAATATATGTTCAACAGAAAAACCATCATCTAGTGAGAAATATCTACCACCGATTGACATGGAAAAAGAATCGAAACAAGTTAGTATACAGTCAACTAAAAATCTTCCAAGACATTATCATCGTCCTGCTGATACCAGTGTATCATCACTGTATACAAATCTGCAGTGCATATCATAAATCATAATTAGTTGGAGCAAACAATAAGACAACGATGGAAATAATAACAATGAATATAGCACTATTAGTTAGTTAACGAAACAAAAACAAGTAGAATGATTATGATGATGTAGTTTCTCATGTATTTCCTTTCTTTTTGATGAAACATTTTTTAGTCAAAAAAAGATATATATATACACACTTATTCTATTTTTAGTTTATTTGACTATTACATATCACAAGATATTTTTGCTGTCCAATAAGTGATCTAGCTAACTTAAATTAGCCAGACATTGATATCTCTTAAGTTGGGTGTGCTTGAGCACGAATTTAACACTGACGAGATTCAGAAATTCCGGTATATGATAGTAATTTGAAACGCGTATTTGTTTATTTGAATATGATAATTTTTAGACGGTATTCTGAAAATATATAAGAGACTATGATCATGAACAGATAGGAAGATAATCGACCCATTTCTGTGAAGCGCATTAACGGAAGTCTAACCAGATTCACGATGCAGCATTGCATACTGGCGTAATGAACAGTTAAAACGTGAAAATCCATCATATTAAGACCGAAAACGATACACATGAATGGAAAATGAGTACTGTCGACATATTCATTGAAGTTGGTGCCACTAGTGAAAATCCTCGATATGGAATTTTTATCAAAAAAGTTTAAAATTTTCCTTTACTTCACATACATTCCAATTAGACATTCACGACAACCATTTATCTTAAAAGTTTTAGCAACTATGAAAGGTTAACAAACGACAAAAATCAACGCACAAACTAAAATACAGCTTGCTTTTTGAGGAGCTATGTTAATCGAAAAGCACGCAAGGTACCTAAACGCAACTAAAGTAGGGTCCACTAGCACCACAGTGTTTAGTTGTTGTACAACTACGAATTATAGTCACGGAAGATGTAAGCCACATAAGGACTACGTGCATTTAATTATCAATGTCTCTCAGTGGTGAAACTAGTAAGTAAGCGCCGTTATGAATTTGAACTTGACATTGGATTGTGCGATCTAATACAAACGCATACTAAACGAAAATACAAACGTTTTCAGGACAAAAATTAATGAGTTCTAAATGCTATCCGGGTACCAGATGCTACAGATGTAGGCAGAAATTATGGACATACAATCGTCTATATCCCTACTCTTCCAAGTTCTTATAGTCCCATTTAGTCAACTATCTTTAAACTTTATTTTATATTTACATATAAAATCGAAGGTGAACCAGTATGGTTTACCTCAACGCTTAAGTGAAAACAAGTAATGAAGGATGAACTATTTATTCAGGCTTTTCGAGATGGATGCATGTGGAAAACATTTGACTGTCGCTAAAACCTGGCATTTGGCAGTACAACCCCACTCTCTGACCTTAAACTTAATGCTTTTGGTTTAGAAGACTTCCAACCAATCTGTATGGGATGGAAAATCACAAAGAAAAGGCGTTTCACTCAATCTAGCTGAATCAGAATGCAAAATGAGCAACCGCAGCTACTGTAAACGTGGTAGCTATGGTCACGTTTCTATTATTATATTATTATTATTTTAACACATAAGTATAGGTACAGGGAGGCACCAAATACATATGCGCCACACAAATCTCAATTGATTTGTGTGAGGGCTGTGATACTGTTCGGGTGCCCAAACCGAAGCAGGTGGTTTTTTAGGGGGCCACACCCCGAGCCTTTGACCTGAACTTCTGACCCACAAGGCAGTGCAGCATCGTGAGGAGATGCAGTCCCATGGTAGCCGGTGACCAACGATTGGTTCATACGCCATTTGTTCCATCAGGATACTGGGCCCCCAAATGCCCTGGTACGGCCGAGAGTGGGGAAAGTCCGCTCTCCCTCTCGAAATGCTCTCACATGGCCATGCGTATATAGCCTCTGCCAGGGAAGTCCTACTCACTGCCTTCTCGTGGCGGGGGTGTTGTTTACAAAAATGAGAGGACGAAAAGCGAATGTCTGGCGCTTTAACCGGACCCCAAACCAATGGTGCACATGGGCTCCAGTATCCTGCGGGAACAAATGGCGTATGAACCAATCGTTGGTCACCGGCTACCATGGGACTGCATCTCCTCACGATGCTCCACTGCCTTGTGGATCAGATCTTCAGGTCAAAGGCTCGGGGTGTGGCCCCCTAAGAAAACCACCTGCTTCGGTTTGGGCACCCGGGCAGTATCACAGCCCTCACACAAATCAATTGAGATTTGTGTGGCGCATATGTATTTGGTGCCTCCCTGTACCTATACTTATGTGTTAAAATAAATAAATAAATAAATAAATCAGGATACTGGAGCCCATGTGCACCATTGGTTTGGGGTCCGGTTAAAACGCCAGACATTCGCTTTTCGTCCACTCATTTTTGTAAACAACACCCCCGCCACGAGAAGGCAGTGAGTGGGACTTCCCTGGCAAAGGCTATATACGCATGGCCATGTGAGAGCGTTTCGAGAGGGAGAGAGGACTCTCCCCACTCTCGTCCGTACTAGGGCATTTGGGGGCGGTCACGTTTCTAAAACAGTATAAATGCTGAATTTATTCACCACTTGAACTATCTCAGAAGTCTTATCAGAACTGGCGAGCAGGTGACTCACGAAATTTCAGTACTTACTTAAGCCTGTTACTCCTCGTGAAGGAGCATAGGCCGCTTACCAGCATTCTCCATCCAACTCTGTCCTGGGCAATCCTTTCCAGCTCTTTCCAGTTTTTATTCATTCCTTTCATATCCGCTTCTATTTCCCGACGTAATGTGTTCTTTGGCCTTCCTCTTTTCCGCTTCCCTTCAGGATTCCAAGTTAGCGCTTGTCTCGTAATGCAGTTTGATGATTTCCTCAATGTATTTCCTATCCATTTCCATCGTCTTTTCCTAATTTCCTCTTCAGCTGGAAGCTGGTTGGTTCTCTCCCACAAAAGGCTGTTGCTGATGGTATCCGGCCAATGGGTGTTGAGTATCTTGCGTAGACAGCTATTGATAAATACTTGTACCTTCTTGATGGTGGTTGTTAAGGTTTTCCAAGTTTCAGCTCCGTACAGTAGAACTGCCTTGACATTCGTATTGAAGATTCTGACTTTGATATTAGTTGAAAGTTGTTTTGAGTTGCATATGTTCTTTAATTGAAGGAATGCTGTCCTTGCTTTGCCAATCCTCAGTACGGATACAAAAACCTTTTTGATTTCGCGAACCCACGCCACCTATAAGCCAAGACGTCCATCTGTCTTTTAAATAAAATGTAGCATTGAACTGATGGTTAAAGCTCTTATATTCTAACAGTCGAGCCCCAGGATAGAACTTCATTCCAAATATTATGATTTAGGCAGTCGGATAGTATCACAAAAGAGAATAAAGCTGAAAACTACGTATCTAGTAATGCAATTAGCAAATGACCTATTTATGCTTTAATCAGAGTATGGACATGTTACACACACTACTACTACGTTGATTTGTCATAATAGCCAACACAGTAAACCAAAGATATAGCATCCATTGAAAAAGACTGAATTCGCTCAATTGAAAACATGGAACTAGTCTATAAGATCGCTGACTTGAGTCGTGTTGGTAGGTACAGACTAAATGGTCAAAATCTGTAAGATAACTGCGATTAGTGGACGGTAGCATTGAATACTAAGACCCAGAATCGGCCATTGTGGAAATGTATTTATTCCTTCTTTTAACTCATTTCTTCTTTTTGAACCATGTTCTTCAATATGTAAACTTTATCACTCATTGTTACTGCTCAACTTTTTGATACTCACGTTACTGATTCAATCATACCATTCTGATGTGGCATGGGAACTCCGAGAAATACACTTCATGTCAGATCCTATATTATAAATGATTGACAGTGACCAGAAAACTGACTTGTTGATGACACCCATATAATACTTAACTAATTGGTTGCCTAAATAGATCCTTAATAAGCATACTATATATGGCTATCAACATATTGTCATGCAATATTGAGTTTAGAATTCTGTTAAAATCAGATGCATATGGATTTCTTTGCATTAACTTTTAAGGAATATGAATATACGGTATGACTGTAGTTTATGAATGACCTTTAGGCAACGGTAAAATAGTTTTGAAGTATTACCTTACTTACTACGGTTATATGAGGGTTATATGTTTGTGTAAGGAATTAAAGTCAGGATTTCCAGTTGAACGTAAGGGATGATGTTCTTACCACGAACTGACATCCGTTAAAAAACGGCATTTATGCAAATGGGTGAATGAATTGTGTGCCAAAACCCAAGATCTGCTACCTCAAATCTCATTGCTTCGTCTGTAAATCATAGTCTCTCCGAAAAAAGCTTTAGAAGATGGAAATTTCACTACTTAATAATATTTCATTGTATTCATAGAGTTTTTCACTAATGGACAGTGGATTCCATAACGATAGACAGTCTTTAGGTCAAAACAGATTATGACAGAACTGAAACGTCACTTTTAGATAAGAGACGTAGCACCAAGCAATAAGCAAATGTTTCAACAATGCAACATCAAAATAAAACTCGAAATATCAACTGTCTTCATTTAATTATAAATATCAGGTACAATAACCTCTAGAACTTACCTCTAACAGACAGTACATCCTTCACATTTTCTGTTGGTACCGTCATCTTTGTATATAGCTCCTCACTACAAGGTTGGGTGTTCCAATAATTTCAAATGCTCATAAGAGTTTCAGTTTCTGTTTGGAAAGGGAATGAGGTTCGGTGGTCCGTGTCAGTCTTGACAATAAAGGTCTCTCGGTTTATCTAGATTAGTTTCTGTTCTCTGAACCTTTTCTAAAAGCTCACTGTCTTTTTTAAACAAGGGCTAGCCGCTTGTATGCAGCACTCAAGTTTATGATTCACAAATACTGTGTCCAAAGTCAAAAACGTTTTGGTATCGATATGAATAAAGGCCCTAAGTATTGACCATTGAGTTCTAAAACCTTTGCCGGCTATCGCACAACGGTGTGTAGTAGTTTTTTAATATTGGCTAACGATAACTCATAAGCCCTTGTCTGTCTGAACAACAAGTAGCTCAATGTTATTCATCATGTGTGTATCTGCGCCTTAGTGACCGATATGCATCATAATGCACCTGGAAGTATTTATCGGCAACTGTCAGGTTTGTGGCTATTCAGATGATTTCTCCAGGTCATTTTGAATTTCTAAGCTTTACTTCTTGTCGCTCTCTATATCTTGACATTGTCAGCACATAGCAAAACCGATGATCATAGGAGATGAGGGGATTCATTTAGAAGCAAGATGAATGTTACTAGCCCCAAAACTATCCTGAGGCCCTCCGCTAAATACAGTTTCCCATCTAAACAACTTGGAGTTCACCCTTGCTCTTTGTTGGCGCCCAACCTGGAAGTCTTTTATCCACATTAATTGATTGCCCTCAACCCTGACAATTCTTGACTTATGCAACAGCCGGTTGTGAAGAACTTTGTCGAAAGGTTTGCTAAAGTCAATGTGGGCTACATCTATAGGTAGCTTTTGGTCTTTAAGAGAGCACCAGCCACTAATAATTTAGTGAGACAGGAATAAATTATTCTAAAACTATGCTGCATTTCCGAAAGTTTCCGGTTGTCATCAAGATACTTAAACAGCTTTTTTCAAACAATCTTTTCTAAAATTTTACCAACCACGCTAGTTTGGCTAAAGGGTCTATGGTTATCAGGTGTATGTCTCGTACCCCTTTTTAAGACAGGACTTACTATGGCGTTCTTCCAGTCTTTTAATAATCAGCTCAAAGTTACAGATAGATTAAAACATATGTTTGAATGGTTCACAAGGAAGTTAGCTAGTTCCTCTAGTAAACTAAGATGCAGTTCGTCGGGCCTCGTGGTTTTGCCTAAGCAAGCTAATTTAGAAAACTAAAGGAATCGACTTCTTTAATGGTCACGTTGTCCAGTGTGTGGGGAATTTGTGTGGACTTGTAGTGGCACTGGGCCCTACCACGAGACAATGTGAGAAATAGACATTAAACATTTAACGCGGAGAAATACAGAAGAATGGAGAAGGCGGGGAGAATGGGTTGAATTAATACGAGTTGGTCTGATGGCATGGCTCGGCCTTGAAGGCGTGGTCCCAGCTGAATGTTATCTTGTATCTTTTATTCATATTAAATATATTCTATCTCTAGCCTAAGCTTGTTCTCTATCACGTATTGGTAATTGTTGCAATGCAATGAATTGGTGTAGATGATGATGTAACTTCCACGTAAGATCTTATAGATTAGGCAGTTACATCATGATAAATCTACAATTTTAGGATTAGGTCTATTATTAGAGCAGTGCTAATATTATAGTAGACCATAATTATACAGACTGACGGGAAGGGTGTTACTACGGTATATATATTGCTAAGGTAGTTTAAGAACACTTGACATTTACCATAGTTATCCTCTACCAACGGTGAAGCATTACTGTCTCCACGTAGTTCTGGAGAGTTTCTCGGACACCTCGGTGTAGTCCAAGGGATGTGATGCGCAGTAACTTATAAGTATAAATTTCGAAATATATCCCAAGAATTAGGCCAAACGTCCACTTAATGAGTTTACATAACTTCCTTATATGAAGCTCTGTCACAAGCCTTATTAATAAATTCAAGCTCTTTGGTTTACTATAAGTTTGTAAGAAGTAAAATTATTTATATTTTCAACATTACATTGTTAAACGGGTCTATGCATTCATAAACGTACAGTATTCCAGGTTCAAATGTTCATTTACGGCCTTCGTAACCAATTTAGTTTACTTGAAGACTTATCTGTTTCGAAGTGAGACAAATGAGGGTCCCTCGGAAATGGGCTTAACAAGAACAGCCAGGTTCGTAAAGTCAATTAATAAATAAGTTGTCCTTCAAAATTTAAATATTTTTCTTCTCAGACTCGATAAGTGTGTCTAGAAGGCTTCAGTTCTTTTTCAACAGATGATAAACAGCAGTCCTGTAAGTTTCATGACGTTTCATATTTATGTTGTAAAACTTTATTAATAGCTGAAACGTTGGTATACCCAGATATTTTCCTATGATATGGAACCTAGTGTACTTCTGTGAAAACCCTGTTTTGGTTGTCCCGATATATAATATTGAGATAGCTTTACTACTCTTAAATGTTCACTTGTTAGTAGGTAAAATCAAATTCATTGACGTGAACTCGCAAACCGATCTTCCGTTCAATGGATACCAATGTAACCGACAGAACTAAGTGTTAGTCTAAAACAGTCTTACAACTAGGTTAGATTTTTGAAAAAAATTAAACAAAAGTCAAATTCAAAAAAGTAATTGTAAGGTGGTATTGTATTATTGAACCGGATTAAGACACACAAAACATATATATTTGTACTGTTTTTGTACTAATTATTCACCACAAAAACTGTCCAAAACAAAGGCTATGCTGTGCTAATTTCATGAGAGTTGATGAACTCCAAAGTTATCTTACTGTACTTTGATAAATTTGTGCCAGTATTCTACCTAATTTTATTGTTAAGACTATGCATCTGCTAGTGGTAAAACGAAATGTGATGAAATTCGACAACAGTCATGATGAATTCTTGATTATTTATGTTCCTATGAAATCACGAACAAGGGAACTCATATAACCTTTCCACAAATAATAAAACATCCATGTATCAAATAGAGCACATGTGGCATCCTAAGTACATATATATATATATATATATATATATATATATATATATATATATATATATATATATATATATATAGGATTACCTGGTTATCGGTACTATTACAATGATAGACCCAATCCTAAAATTGCAGATATGTCATGATGTGACTGCCTAACCTATACGATTTTACGTTGAAGTCACATCATTGTCTACACTGACTCGTCGCATCGTAACAATTAACAATATGATGTTTGGAGTTCATGAAGTACACATTTAGACGAAAGATAGAATAATATATTTAATGTAAATACAAGATATACAGAATGACCACGTCTGTGAGGCTTAGCCATGCCATCCAATATATTGAATTGAATATTCCCGCGCTCTACATTGTTAACCTTCTCTGCGTGTCAATTTTTGAGTATAAATTTTTTCAAGAATTATATGCCCGGCTTTGAGTGTCGAAACTCCGCCTGTAGCTCTTCTGGATATACTGCCGGTCTCAATCCCGGGTAAAGGAGGAGGGTTGAGCATGAGGTCGGCAGTGCCATTTCATAGAAATCTCTCTAAAAGACACTGAGTAGATTGAACAAATTAAATCATTCAAACTCTACCCTGGGAATTGAAGGAGTTATGACGCCTCAGGATGAAAGCCAAGTTTCTGCAGAAGTCACGAGACCGATGCCTTTTCTAACAACCAGAGCAACAATTTTTATAGGTACATGGAACGTTTGGATAATGTGGGAGACTAGGAAGACTAGTCAAATAGCGTCGGAGATGAGGAGATAAGAACTGATAGTACTGGGAATCAGCGAAACCCAATGGACCCAAGCCTGACAGCAAAGGCCGAGATGAAACTGATGCTAAAGAAACACTGGACAACTGGGGGAACAGCATTACAAAGGTTCAATACGGCCTTCCTCCGAGATACTAACAAACTCAACAAATTCAAGATAGTTCTCAACAACTGGTTCCAAGCCTTACAGGACAGGGTTGGATGGCGAGTGCTAGTGGACGGCCTATGCTCCTCGACCAGGAGTAACAGGCATAAGTAATTAGGTTCAAGAGTCGTGTGACTAGGGTTCAATGCTGCCATATATATATATATACGCTCGAATCCTACTAGTCGCTTTTGCTTGGGTTCGCTGCGCCTTGACATGATTTAATTATAAGTCCGGCTCTATATTTGGTCGCACACGCAAACTAGCCATTCTACTCCGATTCGCTCGATGCACTAGTAACTTGTTATCTGTGCTATCAATTAATAAACTGTAGTCGCCGCTTCTCATTGCCTTATGAATTCTAGCTTCGTGGGGATTTATGTGATAACAGTTATCAAGTTGACTGATTAATGAAGCTCAGTCACTACATGGCATTTAAAGGTCTGATAAAATGAATCGGAGATTTTATTATTCCGTAGACCGCGCACTTGACAGTCAAACCAGCCAAGAGAGGACAGTGCAAACGGTTTATTGTAAACTTGTTGAGCTACTTTGTACTCAGAATTCCATATTGTATTAAACACAGAACACTGAACAGTGCTATCACTAATGATATTGATGCTTAGATGAGCCACGAATTATTTACTGAGTAAACAATCACTAAGACAGTAAATAAAAGATGGTAAGCATCCATATATTCACACATACGAAAGTCTATATATCCTATCAAATATCTGATTTACAGCAAAACAATTAGTAGGAACAATAATGTTCTTATTCGAAGCATTTTATATCGGTACATAGCAAATAAGGTTATGTGTGCACAGTTAATAGGGGGTGCCTAGGATTTTAAACAAATTTCGACTCTTGTTTCTTATTACTTTTCACATTCTTTTTAAATAAAAAATAGAGCTATAATTGAATTATTCAAATGACACTATCAAACACACGACATGTCTAACAAACTTCACTAATCAATAGGATAAGCAGATAAACTACCCAATTCGCACAGGGCTCGTTTGTGTCATGAGGGTATAACTTTTTTTAGATTATGTTGACCAAAAGTTTAAGATTTTT